ACCCCTACTATTCTGTGATTCTGTGATTCTGTGATTCTGTGATAGGTAACATTGACCACTAAAAAAATAAATAGAAAAATGTTGTGGTAGCTACTCACTCAGGACTAACCCAAACCACTTCGATACTTCTCTTGGCCTGGAATTTCTTTTCATGAATGCTGAAAATAGTTACTCTGCTAACCATCACACACTCTTACTTCAGCCATTTCAACACAGTCTAAAATGTGAACCGGTTTGAACATAAAATATTCCACTCGTTACAAAGTAGCAGCTGCCCTTCATCTTAAAAATATGGTTACATTTTTAACAGCGTTTCTAATTCAAAGAATTCTCTGTGAAATGTAATTTTCATTTTGGGGAATGTAGCATTTATGACTGATTCGTAAATACATCGCTGGCCTGTAAAATACCCACGACATCCACAAAGTACAAAAATGTCTGCTAAGAAGGAAAGTGCTTACGTCTTTCACCACGCTGCTCTGTGGCGAGGACAGTGGAGGGGGGAGGGGGGGGAAAAGTCATCGAGCGCACTGGAGAAGTGTCGTGTATGCAAAACCAAAACACTATTTCATGAACGAGCTATCTCACAGTCTCAGTGGCAACTCCATGGTAAATCAGTATTTGTTTTTCCTGCCAGCAGAATATGGCCCTCAAGCTAATGATTTATCTACCGGATTTTCTTTGAAACTACAGCTCTCGTGTTTGACAAGGCCAGCAACAACCTTTTTCCCCCTGCTGCTACAAAGTCTGGCTGCGTTGAGCCTGCCTCGCCTTCCAGCTCCGTGCCCAGCCCCACCTGCTTGATCACGTATTGAACTTGCTCCGACTGCAGAACGGCACTTTTAATAGCGCTTGGCTTGCAGGGGCAAAGTCCCTTGTAGATCACAGGGGTATAACATTTCATCGCGTATCTCAAGTCGCTGGACGACCGTCTTTCCTCCAAGATATCTTCAAACTCATCTCTCTTCTTCGACGTGAGCTCTTTCTGCTGGGAAGGTACAGATAAAGAATGAGACACCGTCCTCAAGACACTCGGTGGTCTGCTTGGCTGCAGAACCAAAATACCGGCGTGCAATACTTTTGCAATGTTTGGGGGGGGTTTTTTTCTTCCTATAGTGTCTGCATTCCACATTGAGTGCATGAACAAATTGCACCTGCTTGGAACAACGACACAATAGAAAGGAATGAAAAAGAAAATAAAAAAACAAATCCCAACAAAAAACCTCAACCCTTTCCAACTGCAAAGATCTCCACACCACCCTACGCCACGTTACTTAATTCCGCCCGACAGGGAGAAGCCGGGAGAACACCTGGGCTTTGAAAGTCAAAACGCCTTGCCTCCAGCCTCTCCATGATTAACAGGTATTAACTAAAACATTTTGATTCCAACGCTAGCAGCTGCATGAAGACAAGGCCATGAATGACATTATAAAAAATCATCAACACCAAAAAATAACCCCAGTTGCATCCGGGACCTTGGTGATCTGTGCTGGCTTTCACCAAGCTTGGACATAAGGTACATAAAACACCGCCAGGCAGGAACACACCAAAAAAACCCCATTATCAGCCACGTGAAGATCAAAATGCAACACGGTGCACAGGTAGGTAAGAAGAGAGCGCAGCCTCTGAGCGCCCAACACCACTGCTGAGCAGGGAAACAAACAGGACGTCAAGGACTAACTGCGGGTCCGTCCCGCTGCGGAAATCGCAGCGACAAAACTCGTCCCCTTGAGTCAGCAGGCATCCCCTGCGCCGGAGAGAGACGTCTCCTGTTCTCTCCTCCCACACCACAGTTCGTATGAACGACCCCTCAAGTCTTTCCAAAACTGAAATTGTATCTCTCCGAACTTCAGAACAGCAGCAACAGCCCCCAGACAAGCAAGGCAACGGGAGCAAGCCTCTGTGAAACACAAATATAAAAGCATTGGTTATGATTAAGCATATTTATTAGAAGCAGATGCTAAAAATAAAAATGCTTACGCCTTCCTCTACAGCACCACTTGAAGGGTAGCGCAGGCACCCCTCTCGCTCATTCGGCCTCCTCCCCCTGCACACAACCTGTGCAGAACCGGGCCGGCAGCGAAGGACACAACCCGTTGCTTCACGGGCTCTGCCGGCGACCGTTCCCGGTGCGGAGAGGGAAGCCTGGCCGTCCCGGGTGGGGAGGGGGAATCCGGGCCGGCAGGCGCACGGGAGAACACCAGCAGCAGATAAGCAAAACACCCAGCAGTGCCAGCCGGGGTTTCAGCCTTGGGAGAGGGAGTCAGGTCTCGCTGCCAGCTGAGCGCAAGCCACATCAGCAACGCTATCGGAGCAGCCGATGTTTAAAGTGAGCAGAGAGCAAACATTTAGTTCCTGTCCATTCATCAAGACAATTTGGCAAAACAAAGAAAAAAAACAACTCAAATCAGGAATATCTCCACTTAAAAACCACAAAAAAGTCCTTCAAAGCCTCAACTTTATTGAAATCCAATCTCATTTTATCAGAGAACACAAACCCTGCTGTGATGTTTGACCTTCTCATATTCTTTTTCCCACACAGTGCAGTCAAATTTGGACACCGTCCTCCTACTACAGCACCATCTGGTAGATTCTCTAACCCTTCTTTCCCCCACTGTAGTTTAGAGAATTGTCCCACGGTAGCTGCAGAACGAACTCTCCAGAGACTTTTTAAACAATCCTACACAAGGTATTAAACCCAGGTCCGTATTCATTTAAAACTTCCAGTGGATTTTTTCTCCCGTGTACGGTTTAGCATTACAGTTTTCAGTCTTTCTTCTTCCACAGCTTTCAACTAGTTGGTGTTTTACAAGAGCCAAGCAAGCTAAGGACTCTTAAGCAGACTGGAAATAGTTTGTATTAACCATATGCTGCCACTGACACCTTGTATCAACCCCCTTGATTAAATATAAGGCAGAAAAAAAACCCCTTATGCTCTATAATAGAAAAAAAGATCGCTCAGAACAGCACCACAAAGAATTAGTTCGCTCTAAGTATACACCCACGTAGCTCAGTATGGGACAATCCATTGCTCAGCAAACCTAGGCAAGATTTCAGTCAACTGGCAACGTTTAAATCCCGCAACGCGCAGCCACACGAGCCCCGCTCGGGTACCGTCGGCC